TTTCTTTTCTCTGATGAATGCATCCTCGTCCAAGGTTTCACATTGAATATACCATGAATTGTTAGGAGAACAAACAGGTTCATCCTAGAGAGGATGAAACAGGCTGCTCCTTGGAGGTAAGGATTCTGAAGTTTCATCTGAATACTCTGGACATGTTGCAAGGTGGGACTAGTCCTTGGAGAGGGACATCATGCTTGAGAGAGTGGAAAGACAGTGCAAGGGATGAAGACACTCAATGAGATGGATTGACTCAGTGACTTGGGTAATGTGGGTAGGTGTGTCAGAGACATTAAAGTTGGCACATGATAGAGCAGGGTTTAGGGCTATTTTACCTAGGGTTGCTATGAGTCACAGACCACTCGATGGCACATAACAACAACAATGTGATTAGGTAATAGAGCAGGCTGGAGAAGTTAGAGGTGAAGATGAGATGCAGCTGTAATCTCACTACTAGTTTTATTGATGTTATGTGCCATCAAGTTAATTACCACTCATAGAATCCTATGAACAAAAGCTCTGAACCCTCCCCTATCCTGAGCCAGTATCACTGTTTCTGATACACACCACTTTGTTGAAATTGAGATACTCTGGGATTCCGGGAGCTCTGGTGGCCTAGTGGGAAGAAGCTGTGCTGCAATTCCCAAAGCACGTGGTGCAAACTCACAAGATGCTCCACAATCTCCTCCCATATGATTTCCTGCCTCTGAAAACCCACTGAAAGGTGAGCTGTGACCCAATTCCTACTCAACGGCACACAACCACCAAGAAACTGATTCCAACTCATGATCCTACGTACAAATGAAAGCAGTATCATTCGTCCCATACTCCCAGCCACTAGGAAACCAGCCCTCAGCTCCTCCTCCTATTACTAGAATAGCCACCTCACTTGGCTCCCTGCCTCCAGTGTTGTTTCCTTCCAGTCCTTTGATGTTTTAAGGAGCAAGCTTTCTGAAACACAAATCTAATCACAAGTACTCCTGGCTCAAGCCTGTGCAGTAGCTCCACACTGTGTCAGCATAAAATTCAACTTCCTTAAGGAAGCTGTGGTGGTCTAGTAGAAAGAGACATCTCCTGCTAACCAAAGGCAGGCAGCTGGAATTCACCAGCTTTTGTGGGGGAGAAAGAAGGACAGCCTGCTTGTGACTTACAACCTCAGAAAACCCCATGGAGGATCAGATGAGCAGATTCTGACTCTATAGCAATGAGCAGGTGAATGAGTAAAGGAGCCTAGTTGTGAAATAGTTAAGCACTTAGTTTGCTAACTGAAAAGGCTGGCCGTTTCAACCTCCCTCCTGCATCCAGAGAGAGAGAAGTCTCAGAAATCAACTCCCATGAAGATTGCTATTAAGGAAACCCTCCAGAACAGTTATATCTTGTCTTACAGGCTCACTATGAGTCAAAATGGGCTCCAGGCACATAAGAAGTTAAGGTTGAAGGTTCAAAACCACCAGGGGCACACGCGAGAAAAAGCCTGACACTCTGCTTCATTGAAGATTACAGCCCAAGGTTTTATCACATAGTTTTGAGATGAGTCGAAATCCTATGAATCAGAATAGACTCTATGGCACACAGCAAAAAAGTAAGCCACTGCCTACCACTCTCTCCCTCTCCTTCTGTACATCAACAAACTACTTCAAGATTTTAGAGAGCTCCAAGTTTTCACCTAACCCACTTTTCCTACACCCTTCATTTGGATAGAGGAGGTGCTCCACAGTGCCTACTGCTTTCCCTCATTATAATACTTTAATGAAGTTGCAATTACCAGGTTATTTGAGTCTTTCATAGAAGATGTTGGCCAAGGTTCCACACTCCAGCCACGGCTCATATTTCTAGCCATGGATCATATTGGCTTCACCTGTAGTCGTCCTGGATGGTTTAGACTCCACCACCTCAGCAAGCATTACCTTTGTGGTCGACCAAGCGCCAAAACAATTACAAGCTCCCGAGATAGCCAACCACGGAAGGCTGAGTACGCGCACAGGGGGCGGGGCGAGCACGCACGCAGGGGCGGGACTAAGCTCGGAGGCCCCGCCCCTCCGCTCCAGGAAAGGGCGGCCCTTCACCCCTTCTGCTCCCCTCCCCCACTCTCTGCGCTTGCGCACAGGGGACAACCGTTGCCAGGTGCCTGGGGCCCTGAGGTGGGGTCGGAGACATCGCTGACACCCTTTTTTGGCCCTAAGGTACCCGGCTCGGTGGGCCCACAGACGTTCCAGTCGAATGGCGAAGTGCTTCGGACGATGCCCATGAAGTCCTTAGCCCTTCTAGTTGTGCTGTTGCTATGGCCTTCGTCCTCGCAGGCATATTCTAGTGAGTGACCATCCCAAGGCGGCATCGACCCAGGGGACACAACTGGGGGGGCTACTCGGTCTCATTGTCCCCAATCACCGCTTGACTCTTTCTTTCTCTTTAGATTGAGGGTGGTCCCGAATCCTGCTCTCCAGGGTTCTGGCCTACCTGTTTTCAGGTGTGCCCCTTGTCCCTGAGCCAACTAGGAAGGGCAGTGCCTCGACATTGGTCCCAAACGTGGTCAAGCGTGAGCTTAACATTTTAAAATGCACTATCTCATGACATGTGAAAAAGGTGTGAAATTAAGATTTCACTGTCCATAAATTCTGCTTTATTGGAACACAGCAACACTCATTCCTTGGTGTATTATTGGCCAAGGCAGCTTTCCTGTGCGGTGACAGTGGAGTTAAGTCGTTGTAAAAAAAAGAGACTGTTGGCCTTGGTTGCCACACATTGGTACCCAAGTGTGTAGAATTGAACTGCTCCATTCGGTTTTCCTAGCTGAACCTTTAGGAGAGGAGCTCTGGTAATGGTAGCATTCTCTGGCCTTTTACAGAAAAAGTTTGACACATTTGGTGAAACCTGGAGAACATGTAGATTCTGGGTAGCAGTTTAGGGCATTCATGTGACCTGGTATGTAATTCTACAGAGCCACCTCTGGATACATGGGACTCAAAGCCTAATTTCAGCAGAGTTACAAATTACTACTTGCCATGCTTTAGTCTCTCCAAATAGCTAGAAATCAATGAGCTACATTCAGAGATGCTAAGAATTTATTTGACCTATGTCTGACATATCTTGGGCATGTTGCAAAGACCAGTCCTTGGAGAGGGATATCGTGCTTGGGAGAGTAGAGGGACAGCACAGGAAAGGAAGACCATCAATGAGTTGATTGACTCAGTGTCTGTGGTAATGGGGGTAGGTGTGTTAGAGGCAGTAAGGTTAGCGCAGGATAGAGCAGGGTTCAGAGCTGTTGTATATAGAGGTCAATATGAGTTACAGATAACTTGACGTCACATAACAACAACAACAACATACTTAGGTCAAGAAGCTATTGTCCCAACAGAGCAAGGGAACACTGCATGGATCAAAAATCAAGAAATGAGTGAATTAGGAATGTATCCTTTCTTCATATCTTTTCAATCTATATACTGAACAGATCAGTGGAGAGACTGGGTTTTATGAAGAAGAATGACATTGAGGTTGGAGGAAAACTCATCAATAACCTGCATTATACAGGTGACGTAACCTGCTCTCCCAAACTGAGGAGGACTTGAAGCACTTGCTGCAGAAGATCAAGGACTGCAGCCCTCAATATAGATTACATCTCAACATCAAGAAAACAAAAATCTTCACCATTGGGCCAGTAGGCAGCATCGTGATAGATTGAGAAAAGATGGAAGCTGTTAACAATTCCATCTTGCTTGGATCAACAATCAACACAATTAACACCAGCAGTGAGGAAATAAAAAGACGAGTTGCCCTGGGGAAAATCTTCAGTCAAGGACCTCTCTAGAGTGTTAAAGAAATTTGATGTCAGTCAAAAGACTAAAGTGTTCCTGATTCAAACCATAGTATTTTCAGTTGCTTCCTATGCCACTGAATGCTGGACAATGAATTAAGTATGACCAAAGAAGAATGAATGCCTTTGATCTACAGTGCTGGACAAGAGTACTGAATGTACCATGAACTGCCAAGAGAACAAACAGGTTTGTCCTGGAGAGGATGAAACTAGGTGGTTCCTTGGAGGCAAGGATTTTGAAACTCTGTCTCACATACTTTGGGTATGTTGTCAAGAGGGGGCAACCCTTAAAGCATGTGTAGTAGTTCAGTGCAAGAGAGGAAGACTTTGAATGAGATGGATTGACCAGTAACTGTGTCAATGGGGTCAAGAGTGTTGGAGATGGTGATGTTGGCTCAAGATAGGGCAAGATTCAGAGCCATTGTTCATAGGGTCACTATGAGTTGTAACAACCACAAGAGTTTATTAGCAGTGTCATGTGGACACCTGGAGATAAGTATTTAAGTCAGATATCTAGTATCTGGCGTTTTAGAGAGACTGTGTGAGTTGACTATATACTCTGAGTGCTGTTTAACATAGCTTTAGTAATGTTGGAATTTGGTTTAACTAAATAATTAAAATGTAATGGATGTAGGGAAAAATTGCTTCTGATTTATATGACCCAATAGGACATAGTCCTATAACAAGTCCATAAGAACTAAGATATGATCTTGAGTCTACCCCATTGGGATTTAAAAGTCATTTTAAGGATAGGTTTGAGGCATTGAGTTGTGAGATGACATTAAGGACATCCTTGTAGAGCGCAAAAGGGCATTAAAAAGACAGAGGAGAAAGAAAAGACCAAAATGGAGATCAGAAGAGACCCTGAAAATTTGACACAGGGGCAGTTATGGAGGTTGGGGAGAAAATGGGAAAAGAGTGGATAGATAAGGGATACTTCATTAGAAAAGATGAAGGGTGTAACTATCTGAAAGGAATATAGGATTAGGCACTGTGTGTATGACAGTCTGGAATAAGGGAGGCTTTATGGGATAGGCTGTGGGGAGGGGAGGAAGAAAATGTTCAACAATTGAAAAAACATGTAAAAAAATTAGGATATGATAAAAAAATTGCACTGAATTATCAAGAAGGAGAAAGAAAAGAGCAAAATAGATGTCAGAAAGACCCTAAAAATTGCACTGGAGAGAAGAGATGCTGAAATAAAAGAGCTGAACAAAGGGCAGCTCTGAAGACAAAGCAAGCTATTGTAACAGAATGTGCAGAGATGTAGAATTGGAGAATAAAGGGAAGAACTTGCTCAGCATTACTCAAGCTGAAAAAGCTGAAATATTAAAGCCTCAAGTTTCAATACTTAGGGGTGCTGTGAACAAAATCTTGAATAATCCAGGAAACATCAAAAGATGGAGGGAATACAGAGTCACTGTACCAAAAAGAATGGGCCAACACTGAAATATTTCAAGAAATACTATATGATCAAGAGCCAATAATAATGAAAAAGTACAAGCTGCACTAAAGGTATGGGGGTGGCCGGACCAAACTAAGGCCCCAGTAATCAATATTCATGCTTTATTGACTCTGCAAAGGCATTTGACTGTGTGGGTCATAACAAGTTGTGGCTGACATTGAAAAGAATGGGAATCCTAGAGTACTTGATTGTGTTCATGTGGAACCTATATCTAGACCAGGAAGCTGTTGGGCGAAAAGATCAGGGGAGCACTACTGAGTGATTTAAAATTGACAAGGGGGTGCATCGTGGTTATGTTCTATCTTCATACCTATTCAGTCTGTATACTGAGCAGATTATCTGAGAAACTGGACTCTGAGGAGGAATGTGGCATCAAGATTAGAGGGAGGCTCATCAATAACCTGCATTAAGCAGATGATACAACTTTGCTGAGAGTGAGGAGGACTTGAAGCACTTGTTGCAGAAGATCAGGGAATGTAGCCTTTGGCACGGATCGCTTCTCAATGTCAAGAAAACAAAGATTCTTAATACTGGACCAACAGGCAGTGTCATGATGCATGGAGAGAAGATTGAAATTGTCAACATCTTCATCTCGCTTGGCTCCAGAGTTAACACCCTTGGTATGAGCAGTCTAGAAATAAGGAGACACATTGCACAGGTAAAATCTGCAGTTAGGGATCTTTCCAAATTTTTGAGGAGTAATGATGTCAGTTGTGGACAACGGTGCACCTGGTTCAGGCCATGGTATTTTAAGTCACTTGCTATGCATCTGAGAGCTGGACAATGGCCAAAGATGACAGAAGAAGAATTGATGTCTTTGAACTGTGATATTGGAGAAGAGTGCTGAAGATCCCATGGACTATCGAAAGAACTAAGATATGTCTTGGAGAAGATATAGCCAGAGTGCTCCTTAGAGGCATGGATGCTGAAACTTTGCCTCACATACTTTGGGCAAATTGCTAGGAGAGGTTATTCCTTGGAGAGGAGCTTCATGCTTGGAAAGGTGGAGGGGCAGTAAAGACAGGAAGACCCTTAACCAGGTAGACGCAGTGACTGTGGCAATGAGCTTGAATGCATCACATTGCTTAAAGCACTGTCTTGCTAGGGCTCCTTGAGTTTGTTCTTTAGTTCTTTGAAGTTGAGAAAGCATGTGCTTCCCTTTTTGTTTTCTAACTCCAATCTGTGTACATTTAGTTATAATTTTTCTTCTTAAGCTATGCTTTAAAATCTTCTGTTCATCTCTCTTATTTTAGCATTTCTTCCCTTGGTTTTAACCTTTCTGCTTTCTAGTGCAAATTTCAGATTCTCTTTTGACATCCGTTTTGATCCTTTTTTTCCCTTCTAGTCTTTGTAATGACTTTTTGCTTTCTTCATAGATGATGTCCTTAATGTTATCTTACAACATGTCTGGCCTTTGGCCAATTTTTAGTGCTCTTGAAGACTTATATCAACAACCTGCATTATGCAGATGACACAGCTTTCCTTGCTGAAACTGTGGAGGACATGAGGTCTTTGCTGCAGAAGGTCACAGACTGTAGTCTTTCATATGGATTGAATCTCAACATCAGGAAAACAGATTCTCACCAGTGGGCCAGTTGGCACCTTCATGATGAAGGGAGAAGAAATTGAGATTGTTAACAACTTCAGCTTGCTTAGTTCCACAATCAACACTCCTGGAACCATCAGTCAGGAAATCAAAAGACAAATCGCACTGAGAAAGTCTGCTGTCAGAGATCTCTGCAGTACTGAAGAGCAATGATGTCAGTCTGGAGACTAAGGTGTACCTAATCCAGGCCATGGTCTTTGCAATTATTTGCTATGCCTCAGAGAACTGTACAGTAACTAAGGGTTATAGAAGAGGAATCGATGCCTTTGAGTTATGGTGCTAGAGAAGAGTGATGGACAACATATCATTGACTGCCAGGAGCGCAAATAGGTCTGCTCGGGAGAGGGTGAAACTAAGTTGGTCCCTGAAGGCAAGGATTTTGAGGCTCCATCTCACATACTTTGGGTGTATGGTCAGAAGGGACCAAT